ATGCGGGCGGTAGCATTGGGACCTTCGGTGGAGCTCCCTATGGGGCCACGAAACGCTGTCCTGGGCCCTCGCCGACGAAACGTGTGAGGGGTGTGCCGAAATGAGTGCGGTGCCGCCATGCGAACGCAGCCACTGGGGCTCTCGGTGGAGCTCCCTATGGGGCCACGAAACGTGTGAGGGGTGTGCCGAAATGGGTGCGGTGCCGTCATGCCAACGCAGCCACTGGGGCCCTCGGTGGAGCTCCCTACGGGGCCACGAAACGTGTGAGGGGTGTGCCGAAATGGGTGCGGTGCCGCTATGCCAACGCAGCCATGGGGGCCCTCGGTGGAGCTCCCTATGGGGCCACGAAGCGTGTGAGGGGTGTGCCGAAATGGGTGTGCGGTGCCGCCATGCCAACGCGGCCACTGGGGCTCTCGGTGGAGCTCCCTATGGGGCCACGAAACGTCTGAGGGGTGTGCCGAAATGGGTGCGGTGCCGCCATGCCAACGCAGCCACTGGGGCCCTCGGTGGAGCTCCCTATGGGGCCACGAAACGTGTGCCGCCATACCAACGCAGCCATTGGGGCCCTCGGTGGAGCTCCCTATGGGGCCACGAAACGTGTGAGGGGTGTGCCGAAATGGGTGCGGTGCCGCCATGCCAACGCAGCCACTGGGGCCCTCGGTGGAGCTTCCTATGGGGCCACGAAACGTGTGAGGGGTGTGCCGAAATGGGTGCGGTGCCGCCATGCCAACGCAGCCACTGGGGCCCTCGGTGGAGCTCCCTATGGGGCCACGAAACGTGTGAGGGGTGTGCTGTGATAGTGGGAGGAGGGAGGGGGCAGAGGGAGGAAGGAAGGAAGGAAGGAGTGAACGCGGGGCACTGTCTCTTCAAAACGAGGACCCAACACCACAGGATGGTTGGGAAAAAATGGAGAACTCTTCCCAAACATTTCCCCAGTGATTATGTTTGTTGTTGTCGTATGGGTTGTCCTTATGTTGTCCGTTTTTCCCATCTAAGAACCAAAAACGCAGTGTGGTTTTGTCTTATTTGTTTTTCAGTCTGGGGCAAAACAACATTGATTTGTTGTTTTTCAGCTCGGAGCCGAAAACAGATATTGCGTTGTTTTGGCTGCTTCAGCTCGGGAACCAAACAAACCTTATACTTTTTGTTTGTTTTGCATTCCAGCTCGAAGCCTCTTGGAGAACTCTCTCCAAAAACCTTCCCAGATATTGGTTGTTTAGTTGTTCGGTTTTCCTTTGTTTTTTGTGGTTTTCAGCTCGGGACTACGAAACCTAAGGAACAGCAAGCATCGCCCTTGAAGATCTCTCTGAGGGCCGTCCTACTGCTGGGCGCGTGTAAGAGCCGCCGCAAACCTTCCCAGTGAGTATGTGTTCTGATTTTGCCAGGTTGGGGTCCAAAGACCGCTCGCCACCCTTCAAAACAAACAGGGGCACCCAGGGTTCTTTTCCGTATTCTTATTTATTATTATTGTGATGATTGTCGTGTTGTTGTTTATTTCGGTTATGTGTTGTATTTCAGTTTTTTGAGGCGTCCCGTCGGTCGTTTTGTCGCGTCGTCGTCTTCGCCGTCTTCGTCCCTCGTCGTCGTCGGCGCTGGTGGCTGCCGGCTTGTTCCTCTCTGCCTGAGCCTCGTGCCCCGTCGCGGTTGCGCGCGAGGCCAGCCTGGAATCCTAAGAGTACGCCTCCTCTCGAAGCCCCGCGAAGCGCGACCTCCAAACGATGGAGCGGCGCGCGAAGTTCAACAGATCTTTTTAGAACGGTCTGAGAATCCGCCTCCTCTTTCGGAGCCCCGAGAGGCGCGACGTCTAAACACTGGAGCGGCGTGCCAGGTTCCAGGAACTGTGCTGGGAGCGGACGGGAAGGCGGCGCAGCCCACCTTGTTGGGGAAGTGAGTGCAAAAGAAGGCCGCCAGAAGAATTCAGAACACCGTTCCTGGACTCATCCAAAACATAGCTTCAATATAAAATCCATTCCAAAGCCGCCATCCATATCTGTCTATCTATCTATATATCTATATATCTATATATCTATATATATAGATAGATCTATCTGTCTATATTTCCATAGATCTATCTATCTATAAATCTATCTATATATCTATAGATCTATATATATATATATATATATCTATCTATCTATCTATCTATATATATATATATATATATCTATATATATACATATACATATATATATATATGTCTATATGTCTATCGATATATATATATATATGTATCGATATATATATATATATGTACCTATATATCTGTATACACGCATGTATGTATGTATAGAATCCTCCTGGGGGCGGGCGAGAAGGCGATGCCGCCCACCCGGACGCGGTGCAGCGCTGCACGGGGCCCTGGGCCGAGGGGCTCTCGCTGGGAGCGTGCGCCCCGGAGGCCGCTCGGCCGCGCGAGGTGCGCCGCGCGCCCCCTCGGCCGCGCGGAGGGGGGCCGCGGGAGCGCCAGCCGGCCGGCCGCTGCCGCAGGGGCAGCTTGGGGGGCGGGCTAAGGGGGAGGACTGCTCGCGGGGCTCCCGCGAGGAGGGAGGTCGTTGCTCCCGCTGCGTCGGGCGGGCCGGGCCGGGGGGCTGAGCCCGGGTGTCATGTGGGGAGCGGCGCGATTTTCCAGTTCGGCAAAGGTGCGATCTGTGCTCCTAGTGGCTTGGAAGATAGGCAGATGCACAGGCCTGTGAGCACGACGTCGTCAGGCTGCAGGGGGGCGCCGTGCCCGCGGGCGCAGAGGCCAGTCTTGTGTTGTGTCGGGCGTGTCCCCCTACAGGGGGATGTTCGACGAAAAATAAAAATACCCCAAAAACTACACCAAAAAGGTCAAAAAGTATTCAAAAAATAGACCCCTGACTATGTTTGGATTATTTCGTGATTACTTTTGGGGTATTTTTTATTTTTCGTCGAAAATCCCCATGTAGGGGGACAGGCCCGACTTAAGTCTTGTGGGGGACGCTGGTGCGTCCGTGGAAGTTGCTGGCGGTTGGAACGTATCGGGCGATCGCAAGCATGGGCCAAGGGGGCGTGGATCTGCGGCGGGCCCCCTTTCCATGGGAGAGCGAGGAGTTCCGCCGCCGAGCGAGGCGGCACCGGCCGCATGTTGGGGAGGGCACCTCCCCCGATCCATGGATTTTGCGGCCGCGCGCCAAATCCATGGATCGCTAGATATGCTTGCGTCCCCCCGAAAGTTGCTGGCGGTCGGAAAGTATATGGGCGCGTGCTGCGCAGAGTTGTTGCTGCGTTCTCCGCAGAATCTGCGACGGCCTTCGAATCGCAAGCTGGAGGGCGCCTGGCCAGGATGCTCGTCGACGAAGTGGGCGTCTGCGCGGAATCGTTGGTAAGCCTCTTACGGGCATGTTGGACGTCTAAGGCTCGTGTTGTAGCCCTTCTCAGGCCTCTCGTGCCTCTTGAGGCGGTGTTTGGATAAGACCCCCGCGGAGAGATGCCAACGCGCACGGAGTGCTACGCCAGCGCGGCATGAGACGGAAACGACGGTTTCGATGGGGGGAGGAGGACGAGGACGAGCAGGAGGAGGTGGAACAGGGCGAGGAGAATGAGAGAGAGAAAGAGCTGGAGGAGAAGGTGAGTGGCAGTATGCAAGCTTGCCCGTTTCACGGCCGCTCTTTGGGCATGCGTGAAGTTGTCGAGGACGAGTTCTACAAACGCTTCTTCTCCCCGTGTTTTTCGTCAGGGTACCTTGGGTTTCTTCGCTCTCGCGCTGCGCGGTGACTTCCCGCAGCCGTTAAAGGAGCTGCTGCGTTCAGGGTGCTCCAGGTTTCCCCTCAGGTGCACCCCGCGCACGGACTCTCAAGGTTGGGTTTATTGCGAGGGTTTCTTGCGGCCGCGCCAGCACTATACTAACACCCATCACCGCTTCATTCTTCACGGTTAAGTCGCCGTCAGCGCCGCGCGCATTCGTTTGAAAAATGTGTCGCAGTTGCACGGAGAAGGGTCATTGGTTTGTTGAAAAGCGGTTCTCGCCGCAGCATGTTCGGTTTGAAAGTTTGCTGCGTTTACACGGTCGAAGGTGGGAGGAATGTTCAAGATGTGTATCCCGCCTCTTAACGCCGCGCACATTCGACACAGCAGGCTGCAACTGTTGTGTGTATGCAGTGCGGTCCCTGTTCGAATTGGGGCGGGCACTAGGATGGGCGGCGGCTTTTTTTTCGAAACGAGGATGCCAACTTGGATGGCAGGCCAACGCGGCGTTCGTTTCTCAAGGGGGCGCTCTCCACTGCGGAAAACATAATTGCAGGGTCTTTGAAGGAGGGAATTTGGGACGGGAGGGTGGATTGTGGCATCGTTGATATCTCTTGGATTCAATGTTGTCGTCGTCCTCCTCCTCCTCCTCCAACGACGACGACGACGACGACGACGACGATTGATGTTCCTCCTGTTGTTCCAGCTCGCCTTCGCCCTTCTGCTGCTGTTCCTGGTTCTCCTCCTCCTCCTCCTCCTCCTGTTCCTGGTCGTGCTCTTCCGCCTGCTCATCTTCCTGATCCCCCTGCTCCTCTTATTCCTCCCCAATCCTCCTCCGCGTCTGCCGCACTGCGGTGGCTCACAACGCATGGCGCATCTTCATCAACGAGACGAATGGGAACGCCCTCCGCGGTTGACCCCCAGCGTTTCCTCCACACTCCGTGAAGAGCGCGTGACGCGGCACGTGCGCGGATTGGCACTCAGAGCAGCATCGCGGCGTTGCGGCAGGAGATGTCCGCCGATGGCACGTGCCCTCCCCCAGCCGCCGGCGCCGGCGCCACGTGCCCCCGTCCGCCCCTTGCCCTTCTCGCCGTCCCGTCCCTCGCTCCTGGTCAGCCGTCCTCCTCCCTGCCTGTCAGTTTCTCCTACCTACCTCCTCATCTTCTTCCTTCCTGCCTCCTCTTTCCTCCTACCTCCTCCTTCCTCCTTCCTCCTTCCTCCTCCTCCTCATCCTCCCCCGACGGGAGCTTCCGCCGCAACCTGCGCCGCCCCATCCGGTCCTGATCCCGCTCCAGGACAAGCACGCCCACACGACGCCCGAAGTGTTCGAGCCGGGTCGTCGGTCTTGGAGAAGCAAGGACGGGCCGAGTTTGCGGCCTCTCTTCGGGAGGAGGGGAAGGACGAGAAAGATCGGGACGAGGATGAGGAGGACCAGTGCAAACCCAAGACGCATCCACGATGTTGCACAAGGAAAAATCTGTCCACAAACAACAAAAACATAACCATGATATACACAAACGCAAGAAACCTCTGTCTACATATATATATATATATATATACAGATACAGCAACAAAGAACAAACCAAAGCACCAAACAGTGTTTCCATTTAAGGGCTTGTACTTCTGTTCTCAGGAACTGGGCCGTGCCTTCGGTCTGGCGGCTATGAGGCCGCCGTCGCCGGCCCCCCGCCACCTCGTCGCCGCCCGTCGTCTGGGCCGTGTCTTCGGTCTGGCGGCCATGCAGCCGCAAGCGCTGCCCCGTCGCCGGCTCGTCGCGTGCCCGTCGTCTGGGCCTGGCGGTCGGTCCGGCGGCAGTGTTTGGCCGCCGTCGCCACGCCGACGCCGCCTCATCGCCGCAGCAAGGATTGCACCACATAGATATTCGATTTGTAAAAATCGGGCGAAGAGAATTATGCACATGCACCGATCCTGGCAAGGCCCAACCTTGACCCAGGATCGGTGCATATGCCTTCCTGGCCAAGGTAGGAGGGCGTATGCACCGATCCTGGGCTCAGGATGGGCCTGGCCAGAATCGGTGCATGTGCATAGTTCTTTTTCCTCTATAAAAAGAGAATGGGACCCACCACCCTCCCGAGGCCGGGGTCAACGGTTCACCTTTTCGCACTGCGATGTACAGGTGATTCTGCCTCATCGTCCACCCCAGATATGAGCTCGGACCATCCCGGCCCAGCCAGGTTCGACCCATCCCCCCCGTCGCCTTCTGCGGAAACAGATGCGCGCACATGCGTTTATAAAAATCATCAGTTTTCAGAAACGATCTGCAAAAATGATACGAAGAGCACACACGCGCGCGTCGTCTCGCGCGCAAGCCAAAACCCATCAAAAACAATAGATTTCGTAAGGATGTCAAAGTCGAGTGTCCAGAAAACATATAAAACCACATGGCTTCGCAACACGGATTTTCAAAAAAAGCATGCGCGTTCTTTTGAACCCGTAAGAAAACCATACATTTCCAACATGTTCATAAAATCCTACCACACGGGCTTCGCGCGCGCGCATGTCGAACTCGTTCGAACGCCCTTGCGCGCCTGCTGTTGCAAGGCCCCCTTGCGGCAAATGGGGCGCGGTGCACGCGCGCGCGTCGTCGCGCTTGCGTGCCGAAATGTATGAAAAACCGCCAGCTTCGTAAGGATGTCAAAACCGAGTGTCCCGAAACCGTTTTTTCTCCTAAGAAGTTGTGCAACAACACTTGTCACACAAAAAAACGTGCGCACGCGCCCTTGCGCATCCTTGAGGAAACCATAGGTTCCTCAACGTTGTCATTGGATTATGCCAACCGGGCCTCTCGCGCCACATGCCGAAATCATTCGGACGTTGTTGCGCGCGTGGGGGGGCACGATCCGTGTCAGATAGCACCATGCGGGCCACTCTCGCACGGCGGCCGCGCGCTCCATCACCGACGCGAGGATGCCGTCATCGTCGTCGGCGTGATCAGCATCGGCGCCGTCACTGGCCGTGCCGTCGTCGTTCTCAACATCGTCACCAGCATCGCTACTATCATCATCGTGTCTACCGTGGGCGACGTTGCCATGATACCGCGCCCGACCAAATCGCCGACTCGCACTGAAGTGCCCGGTGGGGTGTGCCCGTCGGTCAGCGCCGTCGCGGCCGCGTCGATCGCGCCAAACTAGCTGGCCGCTGCGCGCGCGTGCATGCGCGGGCCGGCAGGGAGGGGGCATTTATGAGGAAACAAGACGGAGGAAGAGGAGGAAGAGGAGGAGGGCGAGGAGGAGGAGGAGGAGGAGGAGGAGAGGGAGAGAGGGTGGGAGGGAGGTAAGGAGGCAAGAGGAGAGGCAGGGACCAGGACGAACAAGGCGGGGGGGGAGGACGGAGAAGAGGGCGAGGAGGCAGAGGACGGGGAGAAGGCAGAGGAGGGGGAGGCAGAGGAGGGGGCGGATCGAGAGTCGGAGGGCGAGGCTCGCGGCGCCTTCCCCTTGTTTACTTCGATTCGGAAGAGAAGGGGGCAGAGGAAGGGTAAGAAGAGGACGAGGAGGAGGACGGGAATAGGAGGAGGGAGAGGGGGAGGAAGAAGAGGAGGAGCAGCAGCAGCAGCAGCAGCAGCAGCAAAGGCAGCAGCAACATGAGAAGGCTGAGAGGGAGGTGAGGCAGGAATGGGAGATGCAGGTCGGGTTCTGGGAAAGAGCGTTGTAACATAAAAGGAAGGAGAAGGGAGGAGGAGAAGGGGGAGGAATATGAGACACCCAGGACGTCTCAGCGATGGTGCACACTTCCCTGCTTACCACGGGAAACGCAACCTTGAAAACGAGCGCCCAATATTTTTGCCATTTAGTTGAGAGGGCTTCAGTTGAAAGGAACATGTGTTTGAATGCCTCTGGTCACCAGAAAAGCTTCGGGGAATGACAAAACAGGCAAATGAAGTGTCCAGCGGGAACTCTGCTTTGAAAAGGATATGTCGTCCACCCGTCGATTCAACTGGTTTTGGAATTACCGGGTTACATTGGCGAGGGGCCCAACCTTGAGCAGCTTCATGTGATTTTGAGGTTGGCAGTATTTGTGTTGGTCTGTCAAAGGGGCGTGATCTTTGTGAGCGGTGTGCTGAAATAGGGTCACGATGCGCCTGAGGCGTGTGCCCAAACGGGGCCGCCCAGAATGCGGGCATCGCTGCCAGGGGGGAGCTCCCCATGAAGCCACGAAGCGTGTGAAGGGTGTTTCGACATGGAGCCGTCCAGCACGCGGACATCGCCACTGGGGCTGCATGTGGAGCCCCCCCCGAGATCGAGGGGCGCCGCCATACGGACGATGGGGGAGGGGGGCGAGGAAAGGGACGGGGAGGGAAGGAGAGGAGAGGAGGAGGAGACGAGGAGGATGAAGACGAGGAGGAGGAGGAGGAGGAGGAGGAGGAGGAGGGAGGAGGAGAGGTAGGTGTCCCGAGATCGAGCTGCGCCGCCATGCTGGCGACCTCGTTGGTGCCATAGTGGAGCTCCGCACGGGGGGGGGGCCCGAGAGGGAGGAGGAGGAGGGGGGGGCGCGGGGAGGAGGAAACGGAGAGGAGGAGGGGGAGAACTGAGGAGGAGGGGGAGGGAGGGGAGGAGGAGGAGGGAGGAGGAAGGAGAGAGGGGAGGAGGAGGAGAGGACGAGGAGGAGAGGAGGAGAGAGGGGAAAGGGGGAGCGGAGGGGAGGAGGAGGAGGGGGAGCTGAGCGGGAGGAAGGATGAGGGGCAGGGGGGAGGAGGGGGGGAGGAGGATGAGGAGGAGGGAGGAAGAGGAAGGAGGAGGGGAGGAGGAGAGGAGAGGAAGGAGGAAGGGGGAGGAGGAGAGAGGAGAGGGGAGGAAGAGGAGGAGGAGGAGAAGGAGGAGGAGGAGGACGAAGAGAAGGAAGGAGGAGGAGGAGGAGGAGGAGGAGGACGAAGAGAAGGAGGGCCGCAGATGGGGCTGCCCATGGGGCTGCCCAAGGGGGCGCGACCTTGCTTTGGGCCGCAGGTGGGGCTGCCCGTACGGGGCCACGGAGCGTCCGAAGGCTGTGCCGAAGTCGTGCCGTGCCGTTGTGCGGGCGCCGTTCCTGGGGCCCCAGGCGGTGCACTCCCCAGGGGGCCACGAAGCGTGGCGCGCGAGGGGCGCGCCGAGATGGTGCGGTGCCGCCGTACGTCCTCCTCCTCCTCTTCCCTCCCCTCCTCTCCTCCTCCTCCTCCTTCCTCCTCCCTCCTCCTCCTCCTCCTCCTCCTCCTCCTCTCTCCTCTCCTCCTCCTCCTCCGCCTCCTCCCCCTCCTCTTCCCCCCTCTTCTCCTCCTCCTCCTCCTCCCCTCCTCCTCCTCCCCTCCTCCTCCTCCTCCTCCTCCCCGCCTCCTCCTCCTCCTCCCTCCTCTTCTCCTCCTCCCTCCTCCTCCTCCTCCTCCTCCCCTCCTCCTCCTGCCTCCTCCCCTCCTCCCCCTCCGCTCCTCCTCTCCTCCTCCTCTCTCCTCCTCTTCCTCCTCCTCCTCCTCCTCCCCTCCTCTCCTCCTCCCCTCCTCCATCCGCCCTCCTCCTCCTCCTCCTCCTCCTCCTCCTCCTCCTTCTCCTCTCCTCCTCCTCCTCCTCCTCCTCCTCCTCCTCCTCCTCCTCCTCCTCCTCCTCCTCCATGGGGGCAGTAAGGTGGAGCTCCCCATGGAGGGCACGAAGCGTGCGAGGGGGCGCGCTGGAGGCAGGGGTATAGAGGGGAGGAGGCGAGGCGGGGCGCGGCGCTGCCGGTTCAAAACGAGTGCCCAGCTCACACAGGAGGACTGAGACACAGACGTGGGGCCCTACATGGGGGAGCTCTCCGTTGGAGAGGCTCGACTGGAGAGCGAGCCACACTCCATGCGTGCAGGTGCGGGAGGTGGTCGGGGTGCGCGTGCGCGGCGCTGGCTGCACTTGGAGAGAGGGTTGCACCGTCCGTTCGTGGAATTGCGGCGTTGAACTGAGTGTCGTTGAGTGAGTTTGAACTGAGTGTCGTTGAACCGATCCCCATCCCCAGCGGCGTGACCTGGGCCCCGCTGGCCGACTTGCCCCCCTAATTAGATGAGGATATGGGTCGCTCCCTTCGGGTTTCGAGGGGTGTATCCCCAACTGGGGTGGTAATTTGGTGGGGGTCTCGAAGGGGAAGGGGATGGGGATGGGGATTCGTTAAACGATACTGATGAATACCGTCCATCTTCCGCCCGTGCAGGTTTTAGAGGCATGGAATTGGAGTGCCATCAGTGGCGGTGTGACTGCAGGCGAGACTCCCAGGCCGCCCTGCCAACAAGTCGGGCGGCGCCCAGAACCCAGAAGAAGAGCCATCTGTGAGATGGACGGGGTGGGGATCAGGACGCGGAGGGCGAGTAGCAGGACGACGACGACGAGGACGAGGACGAGGAGGAAGGGGAGCACGGAGGGGAGGGCGAGAAGGGGAGGAGAAGGGGGAGGGGGAGGGGGAGCTCTGGTCTGCTGCCAGGTGGATAGCACGCTGGAGTCGCACCGCATGGACAACACCAGTGCGACGCTGGCCCGCGCGGAGGGGCGGGCGGGGTCTGCCTCTCATGTTTTTTGGGATGATCCTCCCCGCCTTCCCCTCTCCTCTTCCTCCTCGTAAGATGAGCCCTCGCTCCCGTCGTCATCATCAGCAGCACCATCTTCATCCTCACCACCACCACCACCACCATCGCCATCATCAACATCATAGTCACAGTCATAGTCATAGTCGTGGTCCTGGTCTTGATTATAGGCATAGTCACAGTCATAGTCATAGAGCTAGTCATAGACATCAGTATCATCATCAGCAGCATCATCCTCATCAGCAGCAGCATCAGCATCATCATCAGCATCATCCTCATCGTCATCAGCATCACCATCAGCATCATCATCATCAGCAGCAGCAGCATAATCGTCGTCATCATCAGCATCAGTATCATCAGTTTCACCATCATCGTCACCAGCATCACCAGCATCACCACCAGCATCGTCAGCATCGTCAACATCAGCATCATCAACATCAGCATTACCATCAGCATCACCATCATGATCAGCGTCATCAGAATGCTCAGCATTGTCATCATCATCAACAGCATCATTATCATAAGCAGCCGCATCAGCAGCAGCAGTATCATCATCAGCACTGCCATCGGCATCATCATTATTATCATCCTGATCAACATCGGCATCATCTCGTCCATACTCCATCGCCTCCCCCATCAGCTCCCCTCCCCCCCCTCCTCATCCTCCGCCCTTCCCTACTCACCGTGACTATCATCATAACCCTCGGTGCCGTCCTACACTTCCTTCTCCTCCTCCTCCTCCTCCTCCTCCTCCTCATCCTCCTCCTTATTTCTCCTCCTCCTCCTCCCCTCCTCCTCCTCCTCCTCCTCCCCTCCTCCTCCTCCTCCTCCTCCTCCTCCTCCTCCTCCTCGTTCTCCCCCTCGTCTTTCTCCTCCTCCTCCGCCTCCCCCGCATCATCATAATCAGCATCATAATCAGCATCATAATCATCATCAGCATCAGCATAACTATCATTATCAGCATCAGCATCATCAGCAGCAGCATCATCAGCATCAGCATCACCAGCATTAGTATCATCATCAGCAGCATCATCATCAGCATGATCAGCATCATCATCATCAGCATCATCATAATCATCTTCATAATCATCATCATCAGCATCATCACCATCATCATCATCCCCCTTCTCGTCGTCCTCCTCGTCCTCCTCTTCCTCCTCCTCCTCCTCATCCTCCTCCGCCTCCTCCCCATCCCCCCATATTATTCCTCCTCCTCCTCTTCCTCCTCTTCCTCCTCTTCCTTCCTGCCTCCTTCTCTTCCTCCCTCTTCTCCTCTTGCCTGTTTGCCACCGGTGAACATTGGGCGGTTTGACCTAGTTACCTCAATGCAGCGCAGCGATGGTTTCGCAGCGTCCAGTGAGGAGGAGGAGAAGGAGGAGGAGGAGGAGGAAGGGGAGGAGGAGGCGGAAGGAGGAGGAGGAGGAGGAAGAGGGGGAGGAGAGGGGTTCTCATATGTTATGCCATTCCTGTACCGCACGGGCCTGCCGCTCCATTCACATCATGTTGTTCACCACTGCGCTTAAGTCGGATTTATCGCAACCGCGGAACGCTACAGCGCCGACGCTCAAGTTCGCCCAGCGCACCAAAAAAAACAGGGGACGGAGGCAGGCTAAGAGCGCTCGCGCAATACCTGTCATCCTCGCCCTCCCATCCATCCCTTCCCATTGCGCCGATGTTTCCTCTATCCGCGGGCGCGTGTCTTAGCCGACCTGGAACTCCACAACAGACTCCATCGTGTTATGCGAGGTCCGCGAAAAGGAAATTTGTGGGGCCTGTGCGACCTGGGGGGCCTCTGTGGCCTGTGGGGCCTGTGACACCTGCGACACCTGTGGGATCCGTGGGGCCTGTGGGAACTGCAGGAATTGTGGGACCTGTGAGACTTGCGAGACCTGTGGGACCTCTGGCACCGGCAGGACATGTGGAATCTGTGGGACTTGGGAGACCTCTGTGGGACCTGTGAGAAATTCGACACCTCTGGGGCCTGCCGGAATTGTGAGACCTGTGGGGCATGCGAGACTTGCGACCCCTGTGGGACCTGCGGGACCTGTACAACCTGTCAAATTTGTGGGACCTGCGGGCCTGCGGGACGACCTGCGACACCTGTGGGTCCTGTGGGACCTGTAGGGCCTGCGAGACCTATGGGACCTGCGAGACCTGTGGGATCAAGAAAAGTGGCCCACGCTGGGGCGGGAGCGACATTCTGAACGACGGAGGCACAGCGCCGATCTGGAAATGAGGCTCTCGCTGCAGCAAGAGCACTATGTTTGAAAAGCTGAAAACAACCAGATTACCACAACAAAAACATATAAAACCCAGGTCTGCCGAATCTTGTGCGCAAAAAAGAGGACGCTGAGGGAGGCGGAGGATCTTCTAGACAGGGCCAGGTGAGAGAAGAGAGTAGTATTCAGGTCGTACAACTGTGGAGGAGGAGGAGGAGGAGGAGGAGGAGGAGGAGTTGGAGGAGAGAAGAGGGGATGGAGGGGGGGGGGAGGAAGGAGCAGGGGAGCGGTGAGGAGGGGGAGGCGGACGTAGCTGCCTGCCAGGAGCAGGCCCCGTCCCCGGGGCAGTCGGGCTCGCGGCCCCGCCCGCGGCCCACCCTTGCGCCGCTCGGCGTCGCCGCGGCCGGGCCGGGCTCGACGGATCGGGCGGCACGGCGCTGGCGGGGAAGCGGGGGGGAGCGGGGGGAGCGGGGGAGGGAGAGGGAGGGAGAGGGAGGGGAAAGAGGGAGAAGGGGAGCAGGGAAGGGGGCAGCGGTGGGGGGGCAGGAGGATGGGGAGGAGGAGGAGGAGGAGGAGGAGGAGGAGGAAGAATGAGGACGAGAACGAGGATGCGGAGGGCGACGAGGGCGAGGGGGGGGAGGGGGGGAGGGAGTGGGGGACGAGGAGGAGTGGAAAAGGACGAGGACGAGGAAGCGGTTGAGGAGATGGGAGATGACGACCAGGACGAGGACGAGAAAGAGGAAGAGAAGGGCGACGAACACGAAGACGACGAAAAGGAAGAGGACGGCGACGAGGGGACGAGGGCAACGAGGACGAAGAATGGCGATCCGGCATCGCGCCCGACAGCCCGAATAACCAGGGCGCTGCATCCAGCAGCGACGCCGCACGGTCCGTCACCGCGCCCTCTTTGCACTCCATGCGCATTCTGGCGGGCCGGTGTTGTCCTCATCCTTTCCCCTCCTCCTCCTCCTCCTTGTTCTCCTTCTCCCTCCTGTTATTTTTGTTCTGCTCCTCACACTCCCTACATCCTCCTCATCTCATTTCCCTTTCCCTGTATGATTCTTCATCCTCCCTTAGTTTCCTAATGTTGTGTATCACAATCCTCGGCTTCTTCATCATACACCTCTCGTCGCCCATCATCATCACAACCAGCATCATCATCAGCACCTTCATCATCGCCATCATCATCAACATCAATATCTACATCATCATACTCATCATCAACGTCATCATCAACATCACCATCATTATCAGCATCAGCATCATCCGCATCATCAGCATCATCATCAACATCATCGTCATCAGCATCATCATCATCATCATCATCATCGTCATCATCAACAACATCAACATCGTCCATGGTATCCTTCTCACCCCTCTCTCCCTCGCTCTTCCTCGTCCCCTTTCCTCATTCACCCACTCGTGCGTATCCTCTTTCTCCTCTTGCTGGGGAGCAGGAGGAGGAAGGTATGGAGGAGAAGGAGGTTGAGGTGGAGCAGGGGCAGGAGGAGGAAGAGGAGGAAAGAGGAGAGCGGCGGCAAAGGAGAGCTGCTTCGAGCAGTGGCAGAACATGGAGGAAGTGGAGCGCCGCCGTACCGTGGACCTGATCGTCAGGACCCTTGCGGGGGTGGGGCGGGCCGAGCGAGGTCTCAAGAGAAGGAGGAGGAGGAGGAGGAGGAGGAGGAGGAGGAGGAGGAGGATCGGCCGCTCGGCCGCCGCGCCTCTCCCTCGACGCCACCGTGCGCCACAGCGTTCCCAGTGGCGTCCACGGGCCTCGCCGCGGCGGGCCCGCATGGGACGGCACCGCCCACCGCGAGCCACAGCGCGCGAGTATCCTCCAACCGATCCCCATCCCCACCAGGCCATGGCATCTCAGCCCCACCATCCCACCCATCCCCAACCCCGGTTGGGGATGGGCCCCTCGAAGCCCGAAGGGAACAGCCTATCGCCCCATCTAGGGGAGGAAACTGGCCAGCGGGGCCGAGGCCGTGCACGGGAGCCCCGAGCCGGGGGTCAGTGCAGACGGGGCTCAGCCAGAGCGCTGGGCCTTGCAGGATCCTGCAGGGCCCAGGGCTGCACTGACCCAGGCTAGCGCGCAGGATCCTGCACGAGCCTGCAGAGCCCGACAGTTCCCGGTGTGGATCGACCCGGGCCAGTGCCTCCTCCTCCTCCCTCCTCCTCCTCCTCCTCCTCCTCCTCCTCCTTCTCCTCCTCCTCCTCCTCCTCCTCCTCCTCCTCCTCCTCCTCCTCCTCCTCCTCCTCCTCCCCCTCCTCCTCCTCCCCCTCCTCCCCCATCCGAGACGGGGATCGGCGGAAAACGATGCGCGGAAGGGGGCGGGGCGGGGCGGCTCTCCCCGAGGAGAGCAGGCCCGCCCTCCTGCTCTCCGGGGGCGCCGCCCGCCACGGAGCGGACCGGCGGAGAGAGCGGTGGGGCGGCCAAGAGGGGGGGGAGGATTTGGGCGGGGGGGGACGTCATGGCGGGGGCCTCATCGCCCCCGCCATGATGTCCACCCCCGCCTCTTGATGTCCAGCCATGATGTCCGCCATGGTGTCTCCTCAGACGTCGTGGCGCCGCTTCTTGTTTCGGCACGTCGCTGGCAATCCCCCGCCCCCTGGGCCGCGCACATGCCGCTGGCCACGGCCTGCGCCCCCCCCCTCTTGCACGGCCCCCCGCTCGGCCGCCCCCGAGAGAGAGAGAGAGAGAGAGAGAGAGAGCGGGCGGGCGCCTCGGTGCGTGCACGCGGGCGCCCCGCCCCCCCGCTTGCTCCCACTCCCACTTTGGGGGACGGGGAGGGGCGGGCGAGACCAGGCGACCGACGACCAAAACCACGACAACCACGACAACGACGGCGACGGCGACGACGACGACGACAACGCCGGAGGGAGGGTCGTCGGGCGGGCGGACCCCAACGGGAGGGTCGGGTCGGGCGATCGGGCACGCGGGCGTCCCGCTCCCGCCCATTCCCACCCGGGGGGGAGGGGGTGCTGCGAAACATCACAACGGGAGGCTACTCACTGTTTTCGGCTTCTGAGGGCCCTCGCCGCGTATCGGGACCGTCAAGAATCGATTCGGGATGAAGGTCCGATCCCACGGGAAGAAGGTCCAAAACCACAGGGGGAGAACAATACACAAACGAAACAAAAAAGATGACGACGACGACGACGACGACAAGATCAACAACAATCAGTTTCAGACTGTTCGCTCCGATCTGCTCGCGTACCATGCAACACGTATATCCCAAGCCCCCCGTACCCGCTCTCTTCGTCTTCGATCGTGCCCTTTGCGGGGTCTATCTTCCTGACCTGCCACACGCATCTAGTGCAGCCCCTAAAACAGGGGAAGCGCGAACGGATGGAAGGGGGAGGGGGAAGGATGGAGCACGAGAGAAATAGCAGGACTTCGATCGTGCCCCCTGTGGGGTATACCTTCCTTACTTGCCACACGCATTTAGTGCAGCCCCTAAAACAGGGGGAGCGCGGACGGATGGAAGGGGGAGGGGGGAGGATGGAGCACGACAGAAATTAGCCGGAGGCGGGCCAGGAGCAAAAAGCACATAGTACAGGCAGACGGGCAGATCGGGCGAGCGGACCCTAGCGGGCGGGCTGCTGAAGCGTGAGTCCTGCATGGATCGCGAGGCGCTGCCGAGCGATAGCTCGATCCCCAGGCAAATCGTGAGAAAGGCCAAGGCGAGAGCGTGCTTCTTGAGTGTCGAGGGCGCGGCGTCTGAATAAGCTGCGCGGAAGTGTCACGCGAGAGCGCGAGTCTTGCATACACTGCGACGCCCGAGCGCGATTTGGGAATAGCCTGTGAGGAAGCACCTAGCGGGAGACGTTGTTGTTGTAGCCGGGGGGGGCAGCAACATAGTTTGAGCAGGAAGGTTTCCCTTGATAAAGAACCGAGTGCGAGCCCCGAGGGGGGGTGGGGCACTTCAACGGGTGGGGAGATAAACAAGAATTGTTCCTCTAGAATGAGAGGTTCACAGCACAATTAGCAGCAACAACAACAACAACAACAACACTAGCAACTGCAGCAGCAACAAAAACGACAACGACAACAACAATAACAAAAACAACACTAACAGCAACAACAACAACAACAACAACAACAACAACAACAACAGCAACAGCAACAACAACAACAACAGCAACGACAACGACAACGGCAACAGCAACAACAAGTGCAACAACAACAGCAGCAACAACAACAGCTGCAACAACAGCAACAACGACAGCAGCAGCAGAAAACAAACCAGGACAAACCAGCAAACAGTTCTGGTTCTGAGACGCTGGGCGCGGTGCAGCCCTGGGGCCGGGGGTGCTGCGCGGGCGAGGGGCGGCGAGGGCCCCGAGTGCCGAGGGCGGGGCGGGGCAGCGGAGGGCGGCGGCGGCCGGCGACGGAGGAGCACGGCGATGGATCCCTTGGCATCGCTCGGGCGTGTGCGTTTATCCTCCGGCGAGGACCATCGAGGAGTATCCCTGATCCTTTGGCGAGAAAGCCACGCACGAAACCGAAAAAAAAACACACGGAACGGACGTCCGAGCGATGGCGATTGGATCCAGCCCTCCTCCACGGAGCGCACGCCCGCGTTCAGCAACAGGCCACAGGTCATTGCGTGGGCTCGTCTATCCTGGTCTCTCCTCTCGGGGGCAAACAGGGCCCCCACCCTGGCGCGTCGATTCGTGAACTGTCCGTGGTCGGTTCTCGAGAGGGCGCCGCGGCCGTCGTGTTCCAGGCTCGCGCCCGCCGGGTTTCGGCCCGAGGTTGTTTTCACGAAGCCACTCCATCCCCGATTCTTTCGCAGTGTTTGACACACGTTAGTGTTAACCGTTCTTGTGCGCTGCTGTCGACAAGCCTGTGTTGCCCCACGTACACCGGCAAACAACTCGCACATCATAGATCTACCCGTCCCCACCGCCGTCCTGAAAGCGGACAAGCTCACGTAGCGAAGGAAGTTCCGCAGATTGTAGGTTATTGTCCTTGAGCTGAACCGTACCCCGTACCCTTCCGTGGACTGGCTGGGAACATCTGTTGCCTATCGCAGGTCGGCGGCTCGTGTGGCATTCCCCGTTTGCTTGGCGATACTTATATCCGCACTATGGCGTCAATCGTGGCGAGTCGAGATCTTGTGGTCGCGCGTTCGGGGCGGCTGCGGGGCGCAGCCTTATTTGGGAGTTGCCGTGTTCGCCCAAGGAGCACATACATCAAGCTGGCGATGGCTCGCGGCATCCTTTCAGCTCCGAAGTAGAACCTTTTGTGTGCAGTGGTAGAGGGGGGGACTGCAAACCACACCCCCCGGCGCAAGATGGAGGTCCAACCCCCTCCCCCCAAGTGCAAAAGGGAGGGGGGTTGAAGAGGTCAGGACCCCCCCTTCTATCCGTGTGTGAGTCGCCGCGACTGGTGGACGAAGTTCAAACGCTGGCCTGATCGACCTATGCTTCAGGCTCTAGTGTGTTTTCTTCCCTGCCCACTTGCGATCTTGCGGGCCAGTGGAGAAGTTGCTCTTGAGTCACAAGGGCGACAAAGCGCTTCTCGGGGGGTCCAGGGAGGAGAAGGCTCCGATCAATCGGTTCGAACTGGACGACCTAACTACGAAATGTTTCTCTTGCTATCGACGCAGTGGCAATTATGGCTCGAGCCTCTTTTGCCGAAATAGAAAGCGCCGACAACGATCACACTTGCCATCTCTGGATGGGGCAAGTAGAGCAGGACAGCGGGCGGGTGGGTTGGCGGCGGCTGGGCCAGTGGCGGCGGCGGCGAATGGCGCGTGGGCGGCGGCGGAAGCGGATGGACCGGCAGAGGCAACCGCAAGCGCTATGCAGAGAGGGAGCCGGACGCTTCCAAAGCCAAGCAGCGTAATTAGGCGTTTGGTGGGGCGACGGCGCATGGGACATCGTGACGGACGGCGATCGGGGCGATGCCGACACAGGTAGCGGGCAGAGGATCACCAGCATGATGAAACGGCACCAGTTGCCGGCCTGGTTGCTGCGCGGCTCCGCGGGCGAACGAGCGCGCGCATCAGGAGCGACAAGACTCAGAAGAAGATGAACAACACGCAGATATTCGAGCCCGCAACGCTCCTCTCGAAGATGAAATCCTTCGAGTTGCCACATCGTGCACCGCCCGCGCATCGGCTTGAGCGAGGCGGCGAGATCCGAACTGTGTCTATGCGAGGGGTCGGAGCAACTTGGACAGGCGGCCTGCACGCGGAGCCTATCGCGATGTCCTTCAAGGACGCCTCCGCGCAGGAAGCGCTGCCCGCGCTGAATTTCAATATCAACGACGCCGAGCGCTCCACAGATAAGAGTGCCAACATGCTGTGGGAGGTGTTTGAGCGGCTCAAGTCAGTTGCACAGGCATGCTCTGTCGCCGCGGTCGACGCGAGCCTGCGCGACTGCACATTGCAGTTCCTCCAGATCCACACCATGGCCCAGAAGCCCGCAGGGTGGGTGGGCGGACGTAGTCCCGCGCGCGGGTTCCGAGCATAAAAAGGCCCACGCCTGGCTCCAGCACCCGCGCAACGATGTGGTGATGTGCGACGACAACGACGACGACGACGACGACGACGACGACGGCGGCGACGACGGCGATGACGACGACGACGACGACGACGACGACGACGACGACGACGACGACGGACGACGACCAGAACAACGACGACGACGACGACGACGACGACGACGACAGCAACGACGACGACGACGACGACGACGACGACCTGACGACGGCGACGACGAGGACTGCGACGACGAGACGACAATGACGAGAATGGCGACGACAACGACGACAGACGAACGACGAACACCCGACGACCGACGAAGACGACGACGACGACGACCGGCGACATCGATGACGACAGCGACGACGACGACGACGACGACGATGGCGACGACGACGACAGCGATGACGACGACGACTGTCGACGGCGATGACTTTGAGGACGACGACGATGGCGACGACGACGACGACGGCGACGACGACGACGACGGACGGCCGACGACGCCGACGACGTCTACGATGACGACGACGACGACGACGACGACGACGACGACGACGACGACGACGACGACGACGACGACGACGACGACGACTGCGCCGACGACGCCGACAAGCGACGACAACCGACCGACGATCGACGGACGATGGACAACAGACGACGACGACAGCGACGACGACGACGACGACGACGACGACCGGCGACATCGATGACGACGCCGACGACGACGACGACGATGGCGACGACGACGACGGCGACGACGACGATGACTTTCGACGGCGATGACTTTGAGGACGACGACGACGGCGACGACGACGGCGGCGAACGAACGACAACAACGACGACTGGCGACAGCAACAACGCAGAGGACGGCGACGACGACGACGATGACGAGGACGAAGACGACGACAGACGAACGACGGACGCACGACGACTGGCGAAGACGACGACGACGACGACGATGGACGACGAGGACGACGACGACGACGACGACGACGACGACGACGATGACGACACGACGACGACGACGACGACGGACGACGGACGACGAGGACGACGACGACGACGACGATGGACGACGACGCCGACAACCGACACCCGACGACGGACGACCAACGACCAACGACCGACAGACGACGGACGACAACGACGACGACGACGACGACAATGGATAACAAGCAACAGACAGCGGATGGCGGGCAACCGACGACGACGACGACGACGACAACGACGACGATGGCGGCGGCGACAGCGATGGCGACGGCGGCGGCGACGGCGATGGCAATGGCGACGGCGAGGGCAAAGGCGACGGTGACGACGACGACGACGACGACGACGGCGACGACGACGTCGATGACGACGACAACGACGACGACGCCGATGGCCGACGACGACGACGATGACGACGACGACGACGGCGACGCCGACGACAGCGACTACGACGAGAACACTGACGACGACGACGACGACGACGGCGACGACGACGCCGACGACGACAGCGACGACGGACGACGACAACGACGACGAAGGACGGCTGGAGACGACGCCTTCGCGCGCTCAAAGCAGTTCGCGCATCGTACCTCGATGTCCCGCCTGCACGAACTGCCCCGCCCACGAGCGCCCGCCCGACCCTGCGCGCCCGTCAGGAACCCCTGGCGCGACCCGACCCGCCGCTTGGTTTTCTGTTCGCGCCGAATCGACTACGCACTCAATTCTGACGCCCTGCCCACCCGACCCGACCCGCCCGTTAGAGCCCGCCCGACCCGACTCGACCCCGCTAGGGCTCTAGCGCGCCAAGCCGACGACGCGACATACTGCAAAGCCCGGCCCGCCCGACCCGACAGGGTCCGATCACCAGGCCCGACCAGTCCGGTAGGGCCCGCCCCAGCCAACCCGCCCGCCAGGGTTTTCCCGTGCCAAGTCAAGCACGCGCCACACTTCAACGCCCAGCCCGCCCGACCTGACTCGCCCGCTAGGGCCCGTCCGCCCGACCCGACCCACCCGCCAGGGCTCTCGCGCGCCAGTTCGGTCACACTTCATATTTTCACGCCCCGCCCGCCCGACCCGACCCGCCCGCGAGAGACCGCCCGCCCGACCCGCCCGCCTGTGAGGGCCCGCCCGAGGACCCACTGGCACGCGTCATCGTCGTAGTCGTCGTCGTCGTCATCGTCGTCGTCGTGATCGTCGTCGTCGCCGACCTCGTCCTCATCGTCGGTCGTCCCCGTCGGCGTCGTTGTCGTCGCCGTCGTTGTCGTCCTTATCGTCGTCTTCGTCCTCGTCGGTCGTCCCCGTCGTCCGTCATCGTCGTCTCGTTGTCGTCGTCGCCGCCATCGTCGTCCTCGTCATCGTCCAGCGTCCCCGTCACCGTCAGCGTCGTGGCCGCCGTCGCCGTCGTTGGAATCGGGGTCGCAGTCGTCGTCGTCGTCGCGCGGCGCAGGCGTTTTCCGTCGTCGCCTGCCAGCGGCGAGTACGGGGGGGGGGGGGGGGGCGTTAGGGCCAGGGAGGGTTAGCGGGGGGGGGGGGGGTCGGGGCGGCCATGGGGTATTTTCTAGGGGCGTCTTCGGGGACCCCGCAAAACGTACGTTTCAGGCCGGTGGCCGCGGAGCGCGCTCTCTCCCTACAATGGTTTGGTTTTGGGGGAAGTGCAGGTTGCCGCGACGCGAATGCCCCCGTATATTACACGGTCGCCAGCGAGCCACTGGTCCAGCGTTCCCGCGCTCGACGCGCGGTGCTCGCGCGGCGCATCCGCGCAAGTATGACGCGGAGGAGCCAGCGTGGCAGCGCGGGCAGCAGTTTTGTGCGTCTCTCCGGTGCACGTTCCAGGGTCGCCTGGCGCGCTCTGGGGCTGGATGAGACAGACAGCTCCCCTTGGACACTGGCAAGAGGAAGGGGAGGAAAAGCCAGGGTGAGGGAGGAGAACGAGAAGGAGGAGAACGAGAAGGAGGAGAACGAGAAGGAGGTTGAAGAGGGAGGGATCGAATGAGGAGGGGATGGAGGAGGAGGAGGAGGAGGAAGGAGAAGGAAGAGGAGTGGGAGAAGAAAGATGGGAGAAGAGGAGAATAAGGAGACAGAGGAGGAAAACAAGGAGACGAATAGCAATGATGGGAAGAATAATAAACAATAAGAAGGAGAATAATAAGACGGATAGCGACAAGAATAAGGAGGGAGGAGCAGCACGAACAGGAGCAGGAGGACGGAAGAGAACGAGCGAGGAAATGAAAAGAAGGAGGGAGACTGAAAAAGTTGGTGAGAAGGATGAGGAAGAGGGTCACAATTCCCATAGACATCAGATGAGGACCAAGTGCTACATCATAAAGAGACAGAAGACAGCGAGAGAAGAAAAGCAGGAAGGAAAATTAGGAGGAGGAGGAGGGGAGGAAGGGCTGAACGGAGAGAGGATAGGGAGAATGAGCAGGAGGAGCAGGGGAAAGACGAGGAGGAAGAGGAGGAGGAGGAGGGGAAGGTTGCCGCCATGCTACAGTGGCCCAACCCACCTGTCATCACCTGGAGGGTGGTGCAGCTCGAGCGTGGGAACGCGCGGCGGATATGCGTGACCCGGATGTCGGAGACATTCTCATTACATTACACGGGGAGGGTGAGAGAGTGCGCTTTCAGTGTTGCCGATGGCGCTGAGGATGTTGATTTGGTGTCGGTTGCGAGTACCATTGGTCGCCCCAGTGCCTTGTCCGAAACTAGTGTCCCCAGAGAGCCAGGTGTTCTATGAGTCCATGTTCTGAAAACTGCAAGCATACCCTGCAGATACACGAGCACGGAAGAGTTATTGTGGTGTGTTGTGCGCTCCTTGTTCCCCAGGGCAAAGAAGAGAGTGGGCACCTCCCAAAAAAACACGGTTCGGCGGGGGGCCCTGGGCCGAGATGCGCGCGAGGCATCAGGCAGTGTTTTGGCATCGCTCGGACGTGTGCATTCTTCCTTCGGCGAGGACCATATAGCCGATTTGGACTCTAAAACAAACACCCCACCGTGCCGTGCGCAATCGGAAAATGGCGAGCTGCGTACACAGGAGGAGATGGGAGGATGAGCAGGAGGACATGGAGGAGGAGGAGGACGGGGAGGACGAGGACGAGGACGAACATCAGCAGCAGCAGCAGGAATTGGAGTGGGAGGAGCAGGAGGGCCAGGGGAAAGCGGAGGAGACGAAATGAGGGGGCGACAACGATAAAACAGATTCTGGATCTTGATAAAATGCCCCGCGCTGGGGCGCGTGATAAAATGCCCCGCGCTGGGGCGCGCTGGACGTTGATGGTTGTAGTTTGCAGTGATGTTGAAATCAGATATGCACAAGTACCTGGGGAAGCGTTTCCACGGAAACCTCCGTGAGCGTGGCTCGTGCAATCTAGAATACCGGATGCAATGCGCATGGTCCAAGTGGCATATGTTCAAGGCAGCCTTCACCAACAAGCGCGTCTCGCTGAAGATGCGCTTGAAGTTGTTCGACAGCGTCGTCACGCCGACCGCCAAATACAGTCTGGCCACAACGCCGTTGACTACACGACAGAGGGCAAGGCTAACCAGTGTCCGGGCACAAGTGTTACGGCGTATCGCTGGGTTTCGCAAAGCTGATCAAGAGTCGTGGGAGGAGGCTGGGCGCCAGTGCAAGCGAAGAGTAGAACGAGCCATGACTGTTTACAAAGTGCCAGACTGGCTCGAGGTAGTGGATACGAGCCGCTGGAAAACCATGTGTAGAATTTGCACCGAGAGGCACCGGTGGCCATCTCTAGCCTTGCGCTGGCGTCCCAGCGGTCCGCGTAGAATTGGGCGTCCCTGAACTAAGTGGACCGATTCAATCGACCATTTCTTCCGGAATCGCTTCAATACCACTTTGGAGCGGATTTTGCGCGACACCCCTGGCAGGCTGGAACAGGATTTTCTGTGTGAGCACTTGTCGTACATGCGAGACCCTGTGTATCAGGAGCGAAAGAAGGACGTACATGTACATGAATCCACGCTGGTTTCGAGAGCACGCATTGCACA